ACATTCTTTATTTCAGTGACCTTAAGGTTGTTCCTAAATTTATTACTACTCCTGAGTAATAAAGTTTGATCTGTGTTTTAATTCATTTCGTGGTGGTTTGGGGTGCCATTTGTTTTTAAGTAGTAATTTAGCATTATTCAGATTGAATTTTATAGCTACACATTTGAGTTCAGTGCTTTGCGAATTAATAAAGATGTTGTTAAACGGATTAACTATTTTCTAATATTTCTGTTCTCTTTGAACCAACCTTACTTTAAATAAGATTAACATAAACTTATAATTAGTGTAAAGTTAATTTTGATTCCCCTGTGGGTTGATTCGACCGAAATGTTTGGCCTCTGTTAACATGTCAGCTCCTAGTATGGGAGTTTTGACAATGCCTGAGGATTAACTGAAGTAATTTGGTGGTTGGTGACTAACAACAACAGAATGCATGATGCACACTTCATCTCACTTGGTACTCGTCAGCTACTGGATGTAGCTGTATTCCACAGTGAGTAATGGTATTCCTACTGACATGTAAACCCAGTACCCTTCGTTTGAAACATCAAAGCACATCTTGAATTCCATTGCTTGTCACCATCAACCGAAAAAAACTATTATCAGTCTATTTTGTGCTACGCACCGTAAACAATGTATAGTTTTATTCCAGTGTGTAATGGAAATGTTCCAGTTAGGGTTATGGTGACCTAGTACTTAAAAAGGATCCTATATCTCAGTATACATATATATATATATATATATATATATATACGTGATATACAATAATGTGTGAGGATGAAAAGTTGCATGTCACTTGTCAATAATCTAAAAATCCTTAAGTGTTGGTCTGCAGGTGTTTGATTTGATTCGTTACAGGATTTCGTGATAATCTGTTATCAGTTGGAGAACGATTGGAAAATCTGGGAGTGTTGGACAGCCGTTTTGTCCTAGTTTGAGACTCTTAAGCAATACACACCGGCTGCTGGATCGGGTCTCAGTGGCTTAGTGGTCTACGAGCTCGCCTTGTAATCGGAGAGTCCTGGGCTCGAACTCTGGTGATGTATGCTTACTGATGAGGAGTTCCAGACTAGGACGAAATAGGTATGCAGTACTCCCTGTTGGTTTCCCAATGGTTCTCTAACTGATGTTATCTCATGATGCAATCCTGTAACGACGCTAATGTTGGCTGCAAATATGTGTCATTGTGTATCAATTAGACTTTTGAGTTACATACTTCCACGATGAATACATTGGTACTTTCAATAAAACACAAATAAATGTTGCTTTAGAAAATTCAAATAGTTCGGAATACAAATTAGGCATGAGAATTAATGACAAACATCCTTTGAATTTGCTAATCAAAACTTGCCATACATCAGCTACTATCACACCGTCACGTCCATTCAAAGCTTAAGGATTCTCCTACATTTCTAAGGCCTGTGGAGTCAATTGTACTTTATATGAAACAAAACCTTTCTGTAGAGCTTTCTTTTTATCAAAATCGATTTTTTTTATCTTGTTTGTGTTGTATGTAGTGTAATCGCTGGTTTGCTTTCTAGTTTCTTCAATTCTACTGAAGTTTTTCAAACTACCAGAAAGCATTGTTTATGTTGTCTTCCTCTTGAATTTACCTACCTGGAAGTTTCTCCTACATGTTCAGTATCACAATCTCCACATTTTGTAACAGGAGAGGACAAGACACTTGGTAATGGACTTTTTATTAAGGAAAAACTTCCCATGTTTATATATTTTTAGCCACATTTAAGGTCGGCTAGGTCAGTGGAAAATAAACTGTTCTGATTGGCTGTTGGTTTTCTGAGTTAGACTTTGAGACGAAAAGTTGCCCAATGAGATTATTTCCTGGCCACAAAGTAAGTTACATCCAGATTTGAGGAATAAATAATTCTTTCTCTATAACTGCCTACTTAAAATATTGTTTTCAGTTTTGGTTAATTCACACCAATCTGCGTCTATGTACTACTGATATAACTTGTCAGTAGCACACGCCACAATTTATTTGGTATACGCACTTCTGTTGGTTGTTTTCTTCTATTTTAACCCTAATCTTTGGCAGTGACGAGAGTAAGATGTTCATTGCACGAAAATACATTACTCTTAAGAATTCTATTTATTTTACAGTACTAACACAATCTTTAGTAGAAGGTTTCGATATAACTCTAACTCCTTTTTTAAATACTCTTATATAAAGGTTTTTGGGTAATTATTTGATTCAAGAATAGACTGAACATATTTTTGATTTTCTACCAATCTTTTCACCCCTTAAGTAACTAGCATTACTGCAAGTTGTTACAATTTTGCAAGGTAGATACTTACTAATATGAATACTTTGCGTGTGTGGCTGAACACAATTGGTGATATGGCTCAGAATCGTTCTCAATGACTAGCGCAGATACATCCACTCCTTGTGATTTATAATATCCAATAAAACTACATTGTTCTTCGACAGTTACTATTCTTTTTGCCTCATGTCTCTGTTTACTGTCTCTATTTTGCACTTCTTTCTTTGCTTTCTTCTCTTGCTTTGTGTGCTACAAGGAGGGAGTGTGGCGACTCGAACTGCTGCACATCGGTGCAGAGCTCTCTGTTAAAACCAGTCAGTCAGTCTGTGGTTTCCGGGCAGAATGCTGTCGCCAACTACAACTCACATGGTCTGAGGTTCGATTCCCGGGCGACACACTCCTAAACATAGCTTATTCTGATAGGTAAGCCTGGCGAAGAGAGAGAGAGAGAGTGGGGTATGAAGCTACCAGTTGCACCTCATAGAAGACTAAGTGACTGCTGCTGAAACTACGAAGTTTAAAAAGCTTGAAGTCATATGTGTTCCACTGGTAACACAAGGGAATGAAATGGATGATAAGTAGTAATTATTATTAGGGACTTTTCAGCAGTATGTGCCCACTGGGTTTGGAATCCATGACCCTTCGGTTACAAGGCGAGCTCGTAGACCCTGTTTGTTTTTCAATGGATCTCTAACTGATATCAGCTTGTGGTCAAACCCGTAACCAATCAAAAATTTTCCAAAAGAATTCTTGATAAATAATAATCATTATGAAGAATCAAAGTGTAGACAATTTACATCAATAAATGAGGAATGTTATATTTGAATATGAAGTCCTACTGTGGTGAGAGCTGGCTGCTAGTCAAATTGGTAGGCAGTAATTTACGTCAATGTTTACGTCCCAAATATAGGTTAAGAGAAAAGAACAAGAACAAAGACTAACTTAACAACCAATCACAGCAGACTTTGCGTAGACGGATACAATTTGCAGATAGATAATCTGAACTTCAAGAAACGGCCACAAAGAGATGAGAGATTAACTTTCAGCGAGAAACCACCAATCAGAAGACTGTGTTTGTTTGCTTAAAATAATCTATAATAATGTACATGAATATGTGTTGATTTCCTAAATAAACGATCTGTTGCCTGGCCCTTGTCTTCTGTTGTTACACTACGACTAATATATGTTTAAAATTTGGGCACTGTAGTAGTGTATAGTTCCATATTAGTTTGTTTATTAGATGTATCACACAGTGATGAAACAGTATTATTTACTGTGTGATGAGAGCTGGCTGCTAGCCAAAGTTGGTAGACAGTAATTGACGTCAATGTTTATGTCCCCAATATTGGTGATGAGAAAATGAGAACAAAGGCTTTGCGTAGGCGGATACAGTTAGCATATGGATGATCTGACACAGCCACAAAGAGATGCAAGGTTAACTTTGTGTGAGAAACAACTAATCAAAAGACTGTATTTTCTACTAACAATAATCTACAATAATGTACATTAAAATCTGTAAGTACGTGTTGATTTTCCTTAATAAACGATCTGTTGTCTGGCCCTTGTCTTCTGTTGTTACAACTGGATGACGAGGTTTCGAACAAAATTTATTGTTCATAATTATATCAATTATAATCACACAACTTCGAAACTTGATTTTTATATGAAGTCCTATGCATTGAATTAGGTGATATGACTGATTGTTTTGTAAGTCATTTAGTATAAGGCATTTTACTGCTCACATCAACAAAGAATAATCCACAAAATACTTTATTTACACTGATTAGTTCATCGTTAGAATTTTCAGGAAAATAATGCCAAGATCAAAATAATGAAAAAAAGTAATAATAATAAAAATTCAAGCTGAGATTTTGTTTTTACGCTTAAAGTTAGTCATTTGAAAAGCCTGTGTATCCATTTTTTCCACCCTTTTTCAGATTTTTGTTTACTTCGTATTTTTAAGGAAATAATAATGTACAGTTGTAATCTTTGTGTGTATGTATGTGTGTAACTCTGTGTGTCCGATTTACGCTGCCAAAATTGCACACAAACACACATACATACAGACACTAAAATGTGTGTGTGTGTAATCACAAACACGCGAACATGCACATTGAAGCACGCACGCACGCACGCTCACAATACGAATATGGGGATATGTGTACATTACACTGAAAAGACACCTTAACTACACAATAGGGATCCATTCACATGGATACAGTTTTACCTGTGGAATTTTTGAAGATTTTATGTGTTTATTTCTTTAGAGAGCTGCCTTTTTATATATAATTATACCACTTGTGTTTTACGATCATATTAAGTGGTTGTAACATTGACAATAATCGATATACTTGTATGTACAAAGATATATGTGTATATAAATGTAGACAGTTCATCTCTATCACTGTTTCAACCTTCAATCTCATTGCTAATACCTGTATACAACTGTAGTACTAGGGAAATATAATGCATGTACATATATATCCACACGAGGATGTGATAATCTCTTTTGTAGGTTATAAAGTGACCAACAGAGAAATGAAGTTATGTGTAATATCCCCCCCCCCCCCCACCGCCTATACACATACATGTCTGTTTGTACATGTATTACCTGTATTAAGGCGAATTCTAACTGAATATCACGATAGCTGAACGAATTATAAGATCGCTGGAAAAGTTAATTACTATGACTGTTTGCTTGCTTGTGTGTGCATACGTGTGGGTAGGATATTTTTTAACAGGAAGAGATTAGCACAGACAGAATTGTGCATCTTCATGATCACCTAGACGAATAAAATCTTTTCTGCATGTAGCTAAATATATTTTGTGCACAAAGAAACTTGGTATATATGTGCTAGTATATATATGCTGGCATTACTCAGAATATCCTAAGAGATCTCTTCTATACGCTTTAACACCCCATGTTATCGGAACAGACACACATCTATGTGCAATTATGATTAATGCTCTTCTTCTGTAGAACAACAATAATGATAATAATAATAACAATATGAATATCCTATTTGGAAGTGATATGCATAGATATTAATTGTAAATTTTGGAGACAAATGAATGACGTATGCCTGTGTGTGTGTGTGTGGATTATTATTACAACGAGAATAATATATAGATGTCATTAACGTACACATACTACTATTATTATTACTATTAAGTATTATCACTATTATTATTATGTATTCATTCGGATGAACTGTTTAAAGCACTAGACTGTATATCATACTACATACATTTATTACTGATACTTTAATTGCTCTTTTTGTATTAATTACATTACTGCTGCCGTTGGTGCTGTTGCGACCACAACAAGCATCATTTTACATTTCATCATTATACTTCATTATCTAAAGCAGATAAATTTTGTGGATAATTTAAAGAGAACAGGAGGAGAAAATATAATTTTTAGAAGATAATGTTTTCACGTGTACAATTTCGTAAAACTTTCAAAAAAGCTGGTGAGTACTACTGCTCAGAAATCTCCTGAGTATATTTTTTATTTATTTAACCTTATCTTCATGATGTGTACTTATTTTTTAGTTATTATTTTATACTATACTAGCAGGTAACTTTACCTAGAGGGGGACCTGAATAATACTCATTTCGCATTACTTAACAATAGTGAGAATCATATCACATGAAGTATTTTTGTAGTATAATTAGAATAGTAATAAAAGAATTCAGTAGAACATTTTGAATGCTATAATAATAATATCTTTATTCTGGATTGATATTATTATTGCTTCCTTTAGTTCCTAGAGGAACATAGGCCTTCAGTCGTACGTCTCTATTGCATTCAATTCTCTGCCAACGTTTTCATATGGCTCCATGTCTGCCCACATGCTTTCATCTCCTCTTCACATGACCTCTTCCGTGTCACCCTCTCAGTGATGACCAACTTGCTGCTTCCCGTTTGCGTTCTACTCAAGCGATGGCCTGGCGTGTTATGTCACTCACTTGATGGTCTATTTTCTCAGAGTATGGCCAATCCACCTCCATTTCTTCCTGCATATTTGTTGCACAATCGGTGCGTGCTGGGTTGGTTCGTTCATTTCTAAAAATCCCTGTTGCTGATCCTTTCTGTCCGGCCATCTGATCTTGAGAGGAGTGTTGAGCGAAGACAGTTGTTGATGAGGGTCTGTAGTTTGTTCGAAGTGCCCTTCGTGACGTACCAACTCTCTGGTCCATACAGTAAGTAGCACCGACTTCACATTGGAGTTCGAAATCCGGATCTCATTTTTCGTGCTGAGTAGTGCTGTTGACCTCCACACGAACTAGAGAGGAATGAAAGCTTGCCTTGCTTTCCCGATCCTCACCTTGATATCGTCATCAGTTCCGTCCGCCTGTAGTTGAAACGATGCTTCTCAGGTAGGTAAAGGAGGTTGATTTTCTCAGGCTGCTCCAATTTAAGCTGATTTTTGTCTGTTGCTGTTGTCCAGGAATCTTCATTACCTCTGTTTTCTCTATGTTCACCCGAAGGCCTATCTTCTGTGGATGCTTCTTCTGCCGACTTGTCGCTTTTCACTTGCGTATCTTCCAGTTTGTGGAAAATCAGACATATATCATTGGCGAAATCCAGATCCTTCGAGATTTTTGTGTGGGTCCATTTTATTCCTGTTTCCTCGTTGCCCGCTGTCTGTCGCATTATCCAGTCTACCACAATCAGGAGAATCATTGGAGATAGTAGGCAGCCAGCCAGGCAGCCTTGTTTTACTCCCGTCTTTACTTTGAAAGATTCGGTGAGTTTCCCGTTGTGGATTACTTGGCATGCAGCATTGTCGTACAACTGCTGGATGAGATGTATGATTGTCGGTGGCACTCCGTAGTAGCGAAGTGGATTCCAAATCACCTCTCGGTCGACTCTGTCGAAGTATAAATTGTACACCATTTTCAGAAGAGTTTATCGCATAATATTTTCTCTTGGTACAATATCTTCAAGTAAAATATTATTTGACAGTATTTCCCGTGATACACACAATGGTCTGTGAGCTGAAGCATAAACCATTCCATTATGACATATATCTGCTTTGTTTCCTTCAAGAAATCCATGATATCTGGTTGAAAGCCATTTCTGAGATGTTCAGAAGTACGTTTTGCGACCAAAGGACATAACTGAAGAACAATCATCTTATGTATTGAAACACGTTGCCACCCACAATTAAGCCATTCCTCAAGTTTAATTGGAACTTACGAATCAGGAGCTTGTAAAAATTTTAAATGTACACCAGAGTAGATAACACCAATAGAGGTCATATCTTAAAATCGATTAAAACAAACCGAACGAGAGGAAATATATATGCAACAGAGAGATGGAAGGTTTTGGTAGCCGAGGTTTTAAGCAGGCTGCCTTTTTTCATTGACTTACAGGTTCATATCAAGTCGATGCATTCATCAGATACCTTTCTTTTTCACCACAGAATAGAAATGAGTAATAACATTTAAAACATTGTAAATATTTTTCAAATGTTGCTTTTCATGGATTTGATTGGTTATAGGTTTGAACACTAAATGACATAAGTCTCTGAATGGTCTACCAGCTTGCCTTGTAACCAAAAGATCCTAGGTATGAACTCCAGCTGTTGCCTACTACTGAGAGTCTCAAACTAAGATGGAATGGCTGTTCACTACTACCCGACTTTCCAGTGTTTCTCTAACTGATGTCATCTTTTGATGAAACTTGTAGATGCTTATTTATGATTAAAAGGTGAGAACTGAAAGAGGTTGAATTTCAACCATAAATCGTTGATTGATAGCATGGTCCCCTAATTCCCCCAATAGGACTTCTTTTGATACTTCAGAGGGAAAAAAGCAGATGAGTTTGAACACTAATCAATGGATCAGTGACATTTACAAATATTCCGTTTACTTATGATTATCTACTTGTAAAATGAGTTGTAATCACTTACATACATACACACATAAAATTACATGTTAATTTCTCAAAAGAATGTTATTATTCGTTCTGCTTTCTTATTATATTTACTCAAGTATATTTGGATATTATAAGTTTAAGTTTGCCTATCAACACACCACATAGCCTTTTCTTCTCGGGGGGGGGGGGGGGGTGGGTTCGAACTAGGAGTAAATTATACTAAGTGAACTGATCTTTCTCTTCTTGCCTAATTAAGTTAAAGTCAAACTCATAGACAGTAAAAACAGTATGCCAACTTCACTTACTTATACACCTGCATTTAAAGAGAACTTCTAAGCTGACATTGAAGAGTTTTTTAGTTATCCAATGCAGGCAGTCATAACTTCTCCTGACTTATCATTAACGAATAAGCTGTATGTGTTGTAATGAGTCTGTGAAAAGAATGTCTAACCATATACATCCTCAAAAAAAGGATTAACACCATTGCCGGTTTTGTGCCACAATTATGATCTGTCTATCTTCTTCTTCTTCTTATTTTAATCCTTTGCCTTCCGAGTGGGAAATAGAGCTTCAAGCTTCAGTTTTGAAGTTTCAGTAGCAGTGGTGTTTGCGTTTCACAGGGTGGGGTTGCCGGCCTCATGTTCAACCTTCCTTCTTTGCCTGGCTTACTACCAGCTAAGCGAGGTTAGGGAGTGTATCGACCAGAGATCGAATCCCGGACCACGTGCGTGCCTGAACAGTGCTCTGCCACTGAACTATTGACGCGCAATGACGTGTCTATACATCACTTAAATGCTTCTGTTTTGTGTTATATTCACATAGTTTTCACAGACATTTGAAAAAGTGGTACGCTCATACAACAGGTGCTCAAAAGTAATGTGTCATATATACAATCTAAGGTATTTAGTAACGAAATTTAAACTGTAAAATCATAAAGTTTACAAATCCTATCTTTTTTGATCAATGAAATTGAGAACCTTGTTCTAATAATTTACAATTATTTTTAAAAGTTTTCAAAGCGTACTGTCAGATGCACGTGTTTATGTAGCTATCGGTTTACTGTCTTATTAGGTTTTTCTTAAAGAAGACAGCGTAAACAACATGTGAATAACAGGAACATTATTTATTTGGGAAATTTTGTCATTTGACACATATATGTAGACATACGCTCGAATTAAATCTGCTTCTTGTCACCTTAGTGATATCGCTTTCTGCTTTCTGCCAACCTAAGGAATAGTGACCACAGAGTGCGAAAGCACCAGTGACCTTGATGAACGCATACTATTCGTTGGATTACAGAACCTGACGTTATCACAGGACCAGTATGAACGTTGTGCACGAATTAATGTGCAAATTTTATGCTGATCTCGTTTTTTTTTAAGTACTGTTTGGACAATGAGTTGATAGTAGGTTAAGGTTAGAGTGTTTTATTACCATTATCTGTATTCTCCTTGTAAATAAATAAATGGGGAGGGAAAGTGTTTCGTTATTGATATAGATGAAACCATTTTGACGGCCATGTAACTTGAAAACTGGTAAATAAACGGATTTCTGAAGTATAATACACGATAGGTTCTGTAATTCAACGAGATCATTGGTACGTTCGCGTCGGTGGCATAGCGGTTAGGACGCTCGCCGACCATGCACATGGTTCGTGGTTCGATCCCCGGCCGACTCACTCCTTTACCTTGCTCAGCCAGGAATAATGCTGGTGAAGCGGAAAGGTTGGCATGAGCTGCCATACGCTTACAGAAACTTCAAGCCACTAGCGTGAAGCCCTATTTTCCACCGGGGAACGTGAAGGAAAAAAATTGGTACGTTCGCACTTTATGGTTGCTATTCTTTATGTTTTCCCTTCCCTGTAGGTCAACAAAGCTAAGACGTTAGTCGAAATTTTATAAGCAACTCATCTATTATTAAAATAAATTGAATTTTAAGTATTGGTTTTGTAGGGACTTTTTGTTTGATTGAATGGAGGATTTCATCATGAGCTGACATCAGTTAGAGAACCACTGGTCTACGAGCTCGCCTTGTAACCAGAAGGTCCTGGGTTCGAACCCCGATGAATGCGTGCTGATGAAGAGTACCAAACTAGAACGAAACAGCTGTCCAGTACTCCCAGATTTTCCAGTGGTTCTCTAACTGATGTCAGCCCATGATGAAATCCTCTATGCGATCAAATTGAATTTTAATTCAGAAGTATTGTTCATTATCACTTTCTTGATTTGTGTTGTAGTCATGGTATTTAATTGTTTGGTTACTTTGTCTTCCTAATGGAACATAGGGGGTCAAGATGTCAGCTTTGAAGTTTCAGTCACGGTGTTGTTTTTCTTTTATGGGATGGAGCCACTAGTTTCAGGCCCAACCTTCCTTCTTTTTCCACGCTGACTGTTGGCTGGTAAATTAGGCGAGAAATCGAATACAGGCCACATGCCTGGTTGGGGAGTATTCTGCTGTTAAACCACTGACACACTCACGGTATTTAGTACAACTGATTTAATGTTTTCAATCTAACTACTCCAGTTATGAATCTAACAAATTACGATAGTACGTAGGATGAGCTAAACATCTTGAGAAACTGTCTTC